TACGTATCATGTATATGCATAATGGACGATATGTGTAACTCTATATAGCTAGTCCTAAGAGTTGCCGCAGACCTGGGATTAGCATCAACACCTTTCACCTAAGGTTATCGCACTTTGGATGTCTTAAGAAGCTCCACTGTAATTGTATATGAATTAAGTGCAGTAATACATCTTAATTATGTCAGACTATATAATGTTCAATGTCTCTCTTAGGCAAAAGGTGCTCATGCCGTGATATACTCCCAGATATAATTTGCCTAATCGTTTAATAACGAGCATCTAGCCCTGATCACTCTAGACACTTTCTGGGTGATTTTTTAATTTGATCATGTGAAATGTAACTTGCTCGTTCCTTCTTTTTTTCCAAAATTTTTGCGTTGCGCTCTCTTTCCACCTCAGTTTTTGGAGTTGCTGGCATGATGCCTGAGTAATTAGGGTATGAAAAGTATATTAATCATGTACCGGAATGGATCCATCAGTTTCGACGTGCAAACATGAGTCTGAATCTGAACTTCCAAAAACTACTGAATTAACAAATCGAATGTTCCATTTCAATCTCTTTGCATCTTCCTATTAGATCGTCTTAAAAGGACTAATGCAAGAAATGACAATGGCAAGGCAGAAACTTACCTCTCCTTTACCGTTTTCAACAAGAGCAACATCTCACAATCCATGAGAAGCACTCGCAGGAATAGAATTGTGGGTCTCATGAAGCCAATGGATAACGATAAAGGAATTTAGTTCTTCATGAAGGTAACTAAATCCTTCATGCCAAATTACCAGAAAATATTGCAATGAACCGTCTATATCATAACGACACCCATCAAACTTTCTGTTAAAATAGAATTAACAAGTATGGACCGTCGAGTTGAACTGAATCTCGCCGGGGCCAAAACTAATCCTTAGCCAAGAAAAAACATATCTATGTACCTCCGCAATAATATCCACAAGGTGTAAATATTGAAAGGGCAATTTGATCCATACGAACTTTTTCCCTTTGCAAAGGATAGATGCCAAATAAGAACAATTCTAATAGAAAAAAGTGGTATTGCTCATATGGTCCTGCTTTAACGCTGGATTCGTCGTTATAAATTACGGTTTTCTATCTAAAGAAAATTAAGTAGACATTTGATCTTCATTAAAGTATGTCACCGTTTAAGAGGAAAAAATCTAGGGTATTGGAACATGCCCATTTCAAGAAAGAGATTCCATTTTAATTGAGTGGCGACTTCATGTACTAGCTTTGAACCGAGATGCCTGCACATTCTTTATTCTTCTTCACTTACATGTTTTAGTTTTTTTCATTGTTCTTGTTGCAAGGTGCACATTAAATCCGGCAAAAATGAGCCCGAACCCAATAAGCCGCCTAAACTAGCTCTGAAGATTAGGTATGATTTTTTTTTCAACCCACAAAAAAATGAGTCCACCCGACCTAGACCCAGAAACTTTCGAATTAGGTCGAGCCAACCCGACATGACCAAAAATGCAAAGGATACTTTTCCCCATCATGCTTGAATGGTAGTTGGAAAATTGGAATAGTCAAAATGATATGATATTGAGTCTTGTTAATCATGAAGCGATATCTAAAAATATGTAATTTATACACTGTTCTATGTTAGCTGAATGACTGAAAAATAATTTAAATAATGCTAGACATGCTAAAACTCATTCACTAAATTTGCTTGCTAAGTGAAGTAACGGATATTTGTTGGGTGTGACTTGTAGGATTTCTAGAGTTGGTCAAATTATATAGTACTTGGTTAATATTAGCTTTCAATGACACTCCTTATGGAAATATGGCTTAAGACCTTAAGATTTCTTATTTTTAATATATGGATTGTGAAAGTTACTAAATTTCTAGTTATTTGTTATTACTACGTGTCTGGCACATTAGTTTAGCAGTTATTTAGAAGCTATCATAAATTTATGATCGATTGTTTAGAAGCTATCATAAGTAAATTTTCTAGTTATTGATTTGGTGAAGAAATTTATTACACGAAACATTTGCACCCTAAATATATGACGCACTTTTCGGAAAGAAAAAAAGAACAGGGTAAAAAAAAAAGATCAACCAGATTTAAAAAGGGACCCGGAATGGCTTCAATAATTCAATTTCATGACATGGGCCAAAGTTGACCCGAACCCGAACCCGTCCAAACCCGATCCAATTGCTAGGACTTGTCTGCGCATACAGTGGATGATTGTGAATCTTGCCCCTATATTCCCTCCACAAACAAAGATCAAGTGGTCACGTTACCCATATTTTTGGTCACTCATGCACGAAACCCTTAAGATCAGAAGAGATATGCCTTGTTCCCTTAAACGCATAAAGAAGACCAGATAGATATCAACGAATTTGTTCTGCTAAACGTCGCTTGCCACCGAAAGATAAAACCAATGCATATCTCTTATCTCTTCAGGTTCTTCATCACCCCTCACCTTTTCCTTTCTGGAATTATTGCATTTTTCCAGAGAAGTTGGACATATAAAAAGGGCCATGAGGGTTTCGTTTTTCACCACAAACAAGCACAGATAACACAGCCTCATAGATAGATCACTCACGAAGTCACCAGTTTAGCACAAGGTATCAGAGCACTTATCATGGCTCATTCACGCGAACTTGCCAAAATTGCAGAGGAAGCCTTCACCATGTTAGAAGAGGGCCTGGCCAAGAAGATGGTTAGGCAACCCCTGATTCCTCAAGCCCCTCCCCAGAAGCCCATGGATTCCTTCGAGGCGGCTAAAGCGTTCGGCGGCATACTAATGGTGGATTTTCGCGGCAAGAAGTTCCCGCCACCACCGCCGCGCTTTCCTAAGCTCCATTAGCTTGGTTCAACTAAGTATGAAGTATGTAGCATCTATATGCATTAGGGACAATATGTATAACTCTATATAGCTAGTCCTAAGAGTTGCTGCAGACCTGGGATAAGCATCAGTACCTTTCATTTAAGGGTTATCGCACTGTGGATGTCGTAAGAAGCTCCACTGTAATTGTATAGTAATTAAGTGTAGTAATACATCTTAAAAGGTTGTGTTATGTAATGTTCAACGATTCTCTTAGGCCAAAAGTGCTCGCAATGCAATATGTTCTTAGATGTAATTGGCCAACTGGTTTAGTAGTGTCTGCCCTTGATCACTTAAGACACTTTCTGGGTGATTTTCTAATCTGATATGTTCGCTATCGAAAATTTTTTTTTTCAAAATTTTTATCTTTGCGCTTTTTCTCCACCACAGTTTTTGGAGTTGCTGGCTTGATGCCTTGTCAAATGTTAATGGAGAGTTCCACAAGATGGGAAGATGAAACATATTGATGATGCATCAGAATGGATCCATCAGATTTGACAGGTTCGGATAAGTTAAACCTGAATACATTCGATGCATATAATAATTAATTTTAAAGGAAGGTCACAAGAAGTCCAAAAGAACATCAGGAACTCCTTGATTGAGCTTGCGAATCGAGCATCTTCTCTTCATTCTAATAATTCTTTTGTTTTAATGCCTAACTCTCTTCCCTTGCTTGAATGGATACCAAGTAATCATTAGACGTTCCTCAAGAATATCGCGGGACGGATATTTTTGGACCCATGATAGTTATCCAAGTTTAAAAACAAGATTGTAGCAGGAGGTAGAGAATAAATAGTTATCTGGTCAAGTATGGTCACTCGATATATATACTCGAGAGAACTAAAAAGGCGAAGAAACACCTCAAAGACAGTTCTTACGACTCTGAAATATCTCATTAGCATCTAGGGAGAGCGATAAACGAAATCAAACAACAAGAAAGGCAGGTCAACTTAGAAATTGTTTCTCCACCGATTGCATGTATCATATTAATCGGCCAACGCTAGTATAAATTTTTAGAGAAATGAAAGGAGCTTTGTATATTATTTTTTCCTCCCGAATTAAAAGGAATGGCGTTCTTGATATGCAATGCAGAAGAATGTCTTAGATATCTCATGCTAACCTTTTCCTTTTGCGTTTTCGGTATACAATAAATGTGTTAAAGTGAACAATCACGACATGATTCGGTCAAAAACAGAAAAGCTTCATTGGCATTTGGGGTGGAGAATTGTTGCAATTTGGTGAAGTTTCAAGCGTAGAACGAGACTAATTGAGAGAAAAACTTTGGAGGAGATCCAAACCCAAAATGGAACCCAACTCCAACAGAAGCAAAATGATTAATCTTTTGTCATCGCGTCATTGAATATACAAAGTGTTGAAACTAAGAATAGTGAGGAAGAATTGAACAGAAAAACAGAGGAATGAATGTGTGAATAATCTTTCTGTATTTTGTATTTTTCTGTCGTGTCTTTGTACGATTACAAAGGCTCTATTTATAGACTTTCACAAGAAGACCAATGTCTACACTTGAGGGGGTTTTGAAAGGAAACTTAATTCACTGATTGGGAATTGATGTAGTGATTTGTTGATGCTTGATTTGTGGGGATTTGATTCTGTCAATTTGTTTCTTTCTTTGGTGGAGATTGTTTCCTTCTTTGCTTGATTCTTCAAATCTTCCTTCTTTGGTGTTACCATCGTTGGTGGAACCAGAATGTTGTTGATTGCTTGATTGTTGCTGATTTCTTGAATTTCGGTGATTGATTGATTCCCTTAACGCAAAGACATTCCATGCAAGTGAACGTGAGTTAAGTCATTAACTCTCTTGATGAAGACTAGATTCAACGTATGAAATGAAGAGAATGACGTTGAGTGAGAGCACAACAAGATCAATGGAGGAGCTGGTTTTGTGCTTTAATTAAGTTTTTAGTTCATTTTTTTCCTATTTAGAAAATGGTGGTTATGAACTGTGAACTGCTAAATATGGTGGAAAAGAAGTTCCAAGAGAGATACACACGCCCACAGATAGATAGTTATTCGTCCTCTTTTCTGGTGGAAATGAGTGTCCTACATAGAGCAGGCCGTAACAGAAAAAAACCTGAACCAAACGAGGTTATAAAAACATGAAGCCTCGTCCGAATTTGCCTCAAACACACAAAGAAGCCTCAGGCTTGTACATTTTCAGTTTTCCAGGAGAGGTGAAAAGAAAACTGAAGTACAGGCCCTCATCAAGGTCATAATGGCCACCTTAGGAGGAATTATCGCAGGCAAAGCCATAGCACTAGGGCTGGTTTTGCTTGCTTGTTGGGTGGCCGGAGGCGAGTCTCGAGGCCCCATTTTTGGTGCTATCAGGGCAGTCCGCCATGGCCTTGTCGGAACTGGTGCTACAGTTTTCGATGTCACTAATTATGGCGCAAAGGCTGATGGAAAGACCGACAATGCATTGGTGAGCTGATCAAAACATCTCGCCAGAATATATACGGTTATATTTCGTGTTTTCTATAGGCCAAGAAAGTCTAGTTATCGCCTGAATTATCGATTGCGTGCAAATGAAAGACTGTCTTGATAGTCTCGTGATAGACTTGACAATTTAGCGTACATAACCAATGGTTTCCATCGGAAATGATTTATGCTGGCCGCTCTATTTGATAATAGAAAACTTCGTATAAACGCATTATTGTCAAATCATAGTCAACACAATGCCTTCCATGCAACATGTGATGAACCGCCGAAATTTATTACTTGATTCTTAGAAGGCGTTTCTAAAACTTTTCCAATATCGTCCAATTCCCGTTGATAGACTGTAACTAACAAAACTCGGCATATTTACACTCATGCAGGCATTTATAAAGGCATGGAACGCAGCATGCCACAGTAATGGTCCGGCCAAACTGGTGATCCCAACAGGGACATTCCTGTCCGGACCTGTGGTGTTTCAGGGGCCATGTGAGGGTTCAAACCCGATCACTATTGAAGTTCAGGGTAACATAATAGCAAGCACTGATATCAGTGAATATTCGGAAGATGGGTGGTTCTGGTTCGAGATGATCGATGGGTTGGTCCTCAAAGGAGGAATTTTTGATGGGCAAGGCCAGACTGCGTGGCAATACAACGATTGCAAGCACAACAGCGGTTGCCAACACCTCCCCGTGGTAAGTTGAAATGTCTTATAACCATTTTCGCAAAACGGAGAAGCGTAATGAGTATCAGACGGTATTGAGTGGACTGGCTTTATGCATTCTGAATCCATCTATACCGTTTAATTCCACCAACGTTGTTGTGCATCTATGTGCAGTCACTCAAGTTTAACAAAGTGAAAAACACCATCGTAGATGGGGTGACATCACTGAACAGCAAGGGCTTCCATTTTTCCCTAACATTCTCACAGAACTTCACCGGCGTCAACCTCAACATATCGGCTCCAGGAAACAGCCCAAACACAGACGGAATCCGTTTGAGCAGTTCTGACCGCATCAACATCTCAAGCAGCTTCATTGCAACCGGTGACGATTGCATCGGAATTATCCAAGGTGCCACGAACGTCACCATCACGCAAATCACTTGCGGCCCCGGTCACGGCATCAGGTAATTGAACGTTGAACTCAATTTCAGAGTATTAGCAGCCGCCCAAATTATCAAAGATTAAAAAGGGGTTTATGTGGAAACGATATAAATCCATCAATCATAGGGCCTCATGTCCAAATGGGATTTTTATGTATAGAAAAGTACTATAACAAGATGGATAATCAAACTAGGGCTTTTTAAAGGCTGGTCACATAAGTGGAGGTTTATTAATGAAATCTTTGAAATTCATCTCTGCTTCACAAATCTCTAAATTGTTGAATCTAACATGACATGGATTTGCCGCCAGTATCGGCAGCCTCGGCAAGTATCCTGAGGAAAAGGATGTGATCGGCGTGCATGTGAGGAACGCCACGTTGACAAACACCACGAATGGCGTCCGAATCAAGACCTACCCAGGAGCAAGGCAGCTTCACGCTTCGGACATTATCTTTGAAGACATCGTCCTTAATAACGTGAAGAACCCGATCATCATTGACCAGAATTACGGCTCCCACAAGGTCATAAAGGTAATTAAACCTCTCGTACTAACCGCTCCTACGCTCCCCATTCTCTTCGGGGTTTCACTAATGTGTGTTTTCTATTTGGATCAGCCATCTAGTGTGAAGGTGAGCGATGTGCACTTCAAGAACATTAGGGGAACCACGATCTCGGACCTGGCGGTCTTGCTGTCATGCAGCTCGTCAAACCCATGTGACCAGGTCGAACTGTCCGACATCAACTTGTCCTATGCCGGGACGCCGTTGAGGAACAAGAACATGACATCGTCGTGCATGAACACGAAGCCTACCTTCAGCGGCACGCAAAACCCACCAGCTTGTCAGTAGCTTGTCTCTGTGATTGTGTCGAGATTAGCAATGGATAAACCATTGCCTCTTTGAGAGTATAACTAAGAGGGCAACGCTTCAGCTTGTCTCTTGGAGTTTTCCCGTCAATGAATACAAAGGAACAAGGATATAAAAGAAACAAAGTTCACCGGAGCTTACCGCCACATGAATCAATGTGTGCTCTGAGTGAGCGCTCGTGTTATAGATAAAGTAGCTACAGATGTTGAAAGTAAATGCTATTTGGCATATATATATTTCCTCTTCGTTTTTGAAGACATCTTCTCTGACTCCATACTGAAATTTATACATTGATCTGAAAAAGAACCATGACGTAGATTCATCGGTTTTCATGTCGTGATCGGTAACTTCTTGGTAGGGTTATGATGATGGTTCGGGCGGGTGTCTGCCCTGCTCACGGGAGCCAATCCGGTCTTTCATTGCGAAGTCAAATTGAACATTTGATTTTTTTTTTTGTTTGACCCAATATGCAATGGATGAAATTAGGGAGTTTAACAATGGCGATTGTCTGATCCGAGTGAAATAATGGAAAAGTATTGGTGCAGTCCAGCTTTGAGGTCAGGACTTTGTTATATGGTAAAAGGATTACTTAGTGTAAGAAAAATCAAATTATTTGCCCCCAAATTATGACAACTTAATTAGAAAAAGTTAAGCAGCTTCCATTCTTAAGATGCATCTTTAGTTGATATTTTTTTTTATGTCTAATCCAGCACAACCACTTATTTTTTTTATTTAAGTATATGCAATGACTAAATGGCAACTACATATTTTATGAACACATGTTTTGAGATTCTAGTAGAATCAAAATGAACACAATAATAAAAAAAATTAGAAAAATCACAAGATCAAGTATTTGACCTAAAATGCATCAAACTTTCTTAAGATCGAATGCTTTTCCTGTAGTGAACTCTAGACCTCAATTTGTGCTACAAATTTTTGAAGTTGTAATAGAATCGAATTGAACACCGAATTTATCAAGTATTGCTAATTGAGATACTATAATACTTATCTATAATACAAGTATGAAGCCTTTTAATAAGAGAAACTATTCTTAATTCATGCAAAGAGAGAGTAGGAGCTCAGTGAAATACTTGTACTTTTATATATAATACACATACGTACATGATTTTCAATAAAACTTCCGCCTCCCACACGGTACTTAATTTATGGACAAATACTCGTTCTTTTGGAGGGAACCGAATTATAGAGGATTGCAATATGTCATATGTTCATCAATGGCGGAGACAAGGGGGGAAGGCCTGAGTTGTACTTGAGTTTCGGATTGGCGAAGAAGCAAGGCAAAAATTAGAGGAAGAATAAAAATAGAAAAGGAAAAAAGAAGAAGGATAGATCTCATTCTCTGACACTAAAAATAAATGTATTAATGTGTTGAGTATTTAAGAGTTAAATTTACCCTTTAAATATAGAGGATTGCAATCTGTCATATGTTCATCAATAAGAGAAATCCACTATATAAAAGTATATCATCTATACTTCTTATATAGTATACACATACTTTTACAGCACAAATTACTAAAATTAACTAGAAGTTTATTCTTTCAGAGTCTTCCTAATTGCTCTCAATTTTTAAAACGAAAGCTTATCTTGATTTGGAAAACTAAATAATAAAGTCAATAACAATGAATGAAACATCATAGTTAACTGATATGTCGCGTAAGATATATTTATTTCATGTATTTCTCTATAATGATTATCCGAAATATCATAATATTAGAATTGAGCCCTTCATCACCTAATTTCTTGCATTGATTTGCTCACTAGTTTATGAAAGATAATGGGGCTTTGCTCCACAAAAAGATCATTTGAGGTTCAAAGCAAACGAAAACCCTAGATGCTACTTACCCAAAAAAAAAATTTAAAAGAAGTTCTAGATGCTATCCCTTGGCAAAGGTATATTCTTAGCTGAGGCAGCCAAAATTGAAAGCAAAAAGCATCCTCCATGAGTAGATTCCATTCCACCTGCCAATTTCCAAGAACAAAAAGAGCACTGCCTTTTCATAATTTCACCTACCCAAATTTCTCCTAAACTTGACCAATCCCTCTTCTAGTCTTCTTTTTTCTATTTTATGCAAATTGCAGGACACGTTGGGAGATCTAGGGAAAGAGTTAAACTATTCCAATTGGCATCATTTACGTGAAGCTTCCTCATTGACGGACGACAAAGGCACCAAAGAACATGACGTGGGTAGTCTCACCAGCATCCAGGAATCGTGATCAAAGTGCAATTAAACATATGAGTAAGCAAATAACTTTTAGGTTCCAACTTCCTTGGACATGGGCACGCTGTATTATATATTGCTCCTATGTTGATGCTCCATAGTGCCAATTACGCGCACAGGATGATTAAGCCTTGATTGAGACACCGTTTGAAGTTGATTGATGTCCAACACCTGAGAGTAATGTCCTATCACATTACTTTACGGTCCTATTTGCTGCAATAAGAAAACGCTCCTTTTGCAAGAAGGTTGGTTAGAGAGTTCTTGTAAAAACGTTAGCCCCGCTTGGTCCATCTTTGACATCTATACTTTAAATTTGAATCGTGAACAAGGGCTTGCCATTTATTTGATTTTTCCATTGGAAACTATTTCTAGGACTCTCGCTCATCTTCTAGTGTTCTTGTTCATGCACCCTAATATCGCGCACATTCGAGGTACCTACAATGAAAGCCTATTTTTCATCCGGTTTAGTGCGAAGAAATGACTATGACATGTTATCACCAACTAAAACCTCGAGGGTAAATTTTGGTGCTTGATGATTGTTCTCTGGACTATTTTAGTTGATATTTCATTTTTATGTCTAACCAAGCACAACCATTTTTTTTTAATTTGAGTATATGCAACGACTAATAAGCACCTACATATTTTTATGAACAAATGTTTTGAGATTCTAGTAGAATCAAAATGAACACAATAATGAGAAAATTAGAAAAATCACAAGATCAAGTATTTGACCTAAAATGCATCAGACTTTCTTAAGATCGAATGTTCTTCCTATAGGGAACTCTAGCCCTCAATTTGTGCTACAAACTTTTTGAAGTTCTAATAGAATCAAATTGAACACTGAATTTATCAAGTATTCCTAATTGAGATACTATAATACTTATCTATAGTACATACTTGAAGCCTTTTAATAAGAGAAACTATTGTTAATTCATGCAAAGAGAAAGTGGGAGTTCAATGAAATACTTGTACTTTTATATATAATACACATACATACATGATTTTCGATAAAACATCCACCTCCCACACGGTTACTTAATTTATGGACAAACACTCATTCTTTTGAATGGAACCGAATTATACAGGATTGCAATCCGTCATCCGTCATATGTTCATCAATGGCGAAGACAAGGGGGGATGGCCTGAGTTGTACTTGAGTTTCGGATTGGCGAAGAAGCAAGGCAAAAAGAGGAAGAACAAAAATAGAAAAGGAAAAGGAAATAAAAAGGAGGAGGATAGATCTCATTCTCCGTCATTAAAAATACATATGTTAACGTGTCAAGTATTGAAGAGTTAAATTTACCTTTTAAATATAGAGGATTGCAATCCATCATATGGTCATCAACAAGAGAAATCCGCTAAAAGTATACATCTATACTTCTTATGTATATACACATACTTTTACAACACAAATTATTAAAATTAGCTAGAAGTTTATTCTTTCAAAGTCTTCCTCATCGCTCACAATTTTTAAGAAATTAAAAGAAAGCTTATCTTGAAATGGAAAATTAAATAACAAAGTCAATAAACATCAATGAAATATCAAACTTAACCGATTTGTCACATAAGATATATTTATTTCATGTATTTCTCCAGAATGATTATCCAAAATATCATAAGTTTTGAGTTGAGTCCTTTATCACCTAATTTCTTGCATGGATTTGCTAACTAGTTTATGAAAGATAATGGGGTATTGCTCCGCAAAAAGATGATTTGAGGTTCAAAGCAAACGAAAACCCTAGATGCTACTTACCCAAAAAATTAAAATTAAAAGAAGTTCTAGATGCTATCCCTTGGCAAAGGTATATTCTTAGCTGAGGCAGCCAAAATTGAAAGCAAAAGGCATCCTCCATGAGTAGATTCCATTCCACCTGCCAATTTCCAAGAACAAAAAGAGCACTGCCTTTTCATAATTTCGCCTACCCAACTTTCTTCTGAACTTAACCAATCCCTCTCCTAGTCTTTTTCTTTCTATGCAAATCGCAGGACACGTTGGGAGATCTAGGGAAAGAGTTAAACTATTCCAATCGGCATCATTCACGTGAAGCTTCCTCATTGACGGACGACAAAGGCACTAAAGAACATGACGTGGGTAGTCTCACCAGCATCTAGGAATCGTGATCAGAGTGCAATTAAAATATGTGATGACTTCCTAAGACATGGGCACACTATATTATATATTGCTCCTATGTTGGTGCTCCATAGTGCCGATTACGCGCACATGATGATTAAGCCTTGATTAAGATACCGTTTGAAGTTGATTGATGTCCAACGCCTAAGAGTAATGTCCTATTACATTACTTTACAGTCCTATCTATTGTGATAGGAAAATGCTCCTTTTGCAAGAAAGTTGGCTAGAGATTTCCTGTAAAAACACTAGCCCCGCTCGGTCCATCTCCCACGTCTGTACTTTAAATGTGAATCGTGAACAAGGGCTTGCCGTTTATTTGATTTTTCCATTGTAAACTGTTTCTAGGACTCTCGCTCACTTTCTAGTGTTCACTTTCATGCGCCCTAATGTCGCACACATTCGAGGTACCTACAATGAAAACCTACTTTTCGTCCGGTTTAGTGCAAAGAAATGACTATGATGTGGTATAACCAACTAAACCTCGAGGGTAAATTTTGGTGCTCGATGATCGATTAGGTGTCTTGTGTGTTAATAAAATGTAAATAGACTCGGATCGATCTCGGTATGTTGAGTACTCACTTGGCACGAATCTTAACCATAACTCACTTAGTCATTTTCTCGATCATTATGTTCAATAACAAGTTGTTTACCAGAAAGCGCCATCTCATGCGGTAGCCTATCATTTCCTAAGGCTACGTTTAATCGTCTAGACTATTTTATCGGACAAGACAAGGTCGAATTGGATAATAATGGGATTTTCAATAACTTATGTAACATCTAGAAAATATACGAATATCTAAGCTGGATTGAATGTCAACCGTTCAGACTGATTGAATGCCAACGTAACGGCTCTCGTCGCCAGCAATCTACTAATGTAATGGTTCTCAACGCTACCAAATCCCACCTCACTCTCCTCACCATCCTCCACCTCTTCCTCCTTTCTGCCCATGCCACATTGAATGTCGACTGTTCAAATCACTGAACCCTCACGGATGTCTAAGCTGCTTGGGCATCACTATCATGCAAAATCTTTAGCTACCACCAATCCCTCTTCCATCTTCATTGCCTGCCCGCAATTTTCAACAACCACCAATCTGGTCGCCACCCCTACCTTTGCAACCAACGCCGAGGTTGAGGCCCAGCGAACGAAGGTGTGGCGAATTGTGCAATGAAGGTGCATGTGACACAATGGAACGATAGATGTTACACCAGATTTGGCTATGGAAGGGGACAACGACAGAGAGGATGCTCCAAATTTTGCCATAGAGCTCCTCTGTGGCCGAGATCGAGTCGTGCTCAGCCACGAAGGAGCTCTAGATCTGGCCATGGAGCTCCTCCGAGGCTGAGATCGAGTCGAGCTTGTCACCACAACAAGCCTTGTCGATGGCAACGAGATAGAGCTTGGTGGGAGGCCTTGGGTGGCGGAGGAGGCTCCGGGTGGCGTCCATGAGTGGACAGAGAAGAGAGACGAGTGTGATACGTATCATATCCACCTTGATCGCACTTTATATATGAGATTAATCTATCCAAGTTATATAACTCTTATATCTTATTTTGTCATGTCTTGGATAGCAATCAAATACTGAATAGAATAAATGTAATCTATGACTTTTATACCGTTTACCAAATGTAGTCGAAGACTTCTGAAGGCTGGAATTAGGACTCAAATGGAAAGTTCTCCTTCGCGAGATAGCATTTGCATGTTGACAGAATGACGTAACGAGCCAACTATGATGATACAAGATTCCAAGGCGATGTCACATATAATCCCCAACCCCACGCACTTGAAAAGACAGTTTTCGATGTTAATAGAAACCAAAAAAAAAAAAAAAAAAAATCAACACACGACGAAAACTACCAAATTCATAGGTGCACGGTTGAAAAAAAGGATGGCAGAGATCGTTTTCAAGAACATTAGTGCACCTACACTTGTGTCCTTTCATTTCACTCGATATAAACAAGCACAAGCGACATGGTAGGTGAATTTCTCAATTTGCCTCAGATTTCGTTGCCTAAACAATTTGCCTCACAGCACATCATCGGCTGATAATCAAGGATTAATACCAATTTCGGATTGTGATAACAGAAGCTAATCTCTCAGCTGCGAAGTTCGTTCAAAGCTCAAAGTCCTCGTCATTTAAGAACTTCATCTAGGTTTTGTTTGTTTCGCGGAGAATGAACGATCTAGTTAAAAAAAAATGATCGTTTGTATCGCTTGAAACAATTGATCGATAAAAATGCTTTCATTATCGACAATGACTTATGTATAAACATTTTCATGGATGGTGAATATGTTTTTCGCACATTCATTTTTATAAGCGACATAAATGATCATTTTAGGAAAATATTTTCCTAATTAATTATTTTCCACGAATTAAATAGAGTTTTAGATCCAATTAGATAAGAACAACCCAAGAGAAAATAGCAGGCATGAATTCATAATCTTGTATAAGGAAAGATAAACGAGACACATGGTAAGAAAATCCAAATCTTGATATTTGTTACCAAAAAATCACGAACCAATCGACTATGGTAATAAATCCAGCTAATTTGGACATGGCATTGTCAGTCAGGCTCAAGACCATCCCGGTAGAAAATATCTGTTGACCTCAAACATCACATCACACTTAGAAAAGGACCATTTTTTCTATTCAAACAAAAAAAAGAGAAAAAAACAAAGAAATTTACGTATCATATATTTTCCCAAATTGAACGTAGTAATTGAAAAGCGCTCGATCCAGACGCGACAAATCTCGCGTTCGAATGAATAATACCTCGTGCCCCGCTACTTATTTCTCGGATCCATACGACGAAATAATTTAGCGCGCATTCATTATAGAATGCTTAAAAAGACGAATTTTCGATTTTCACAAAATGAAAAAAACATATACACGTGGCATACAGCGGTTCATTCGGACGGGACAGATCTTGCATTCGACCGGTAATATCCCAGTTCAAGCTGATCTCAGGGGCCGCCCTCCCCGCTGCTTACATCCCCGGTGCATGGGACGGGATAATTTACGTGCATTCACGATAAATACTAGTCGAGCCGAAAAATTCGAATATTATTGCATTTCCTCTCTTTGCACATATATATATATATATATATATATATATATATATAATATAAGTATGTATATATCGTGCATGAAACCAGCAGCAAAAGAGAAAAATAAAAAATATCTTCATCTGGTCATTTGTGTGGCGCTGGCTGGCTAAACCCAATCCCTCTCCCTCACCCTCTCTATCTCTTTCCCTCCTCCTCCTCTTTCGTCTTCTCCACAATTCGGACTCCGTCCTTCGCTCGCCGCTTCCGGACATCTCGAGCTTTTCCTTTCGATAGTTTCGGTCGTGTTTTTCCTCTGCTTTTTTTCCCCCGTTTTCTTTTTTTCTTTTTGTTTTGTTGGGTTTTTGCGCCGTCGATTTTTGGGGGCCCCCGCCCATCCTCATGTTCGATCCTCCCGCGAGGTCCGCCCGCTCAGATGCTGCTTCGTAGACATGGCCTCCGCTTCTTCGATGTCCGGTACGTGTGTCGTGATTTCCCATTTCGCGCCGTTTCGGTCCGTGTTCGCTGCGGATTCATGTGTGTGTATGTGTGGAGGGATTGATGGTTCTGGACCGGTTCTGTTGGCCTTTCGAGAGCCGAAGCGTCGCGATTTCGGATCGTTTCGATAGGCGAACCGCGGGTGGGGTTCGATTCTTCGATGCTAGGCTAGGGAGGAGCGATATGTGCCGCATTGCTGAGAGAATTAGATGTTTTGCTGACTGAAATTTCGGACTCTGCTACTGTCGAATTATGTCTTTCTGTTCTGCGGGTGGAATTCGAATTAAAGTTTTAATTTTTTTTTGGAGGGGAATTTGCAGTGTCGGTAGAGTGTGTGAATGTGTGTAAGCTGGCGAAAGGCGATGTGGGCGGGAGATACGACTGCAATGCTCTGTCGTGCGCTTGGAAGGCGCCCCGGGTCCTGTCGGGCTTCCTCGCGAGCACGGCGCATCCTCCTCAGTGTTCGTCGTCCTCTATCGTGCAGGCTGGGAGGCGGGATCGGGGAAAATCTGTAAGTGTTTATGCTGATGATGCTGTAGGTTTTGTGTTTTCCGGCCTGAAGGGTTTCGTGCATTAATCATCCGCTTCGGATAATGTTCCGGAAGTTTTGCTGTTAATTTGTTGGTTTCGGTTTTCTGTTTCTCTGTCGTTGTTTTCTGATGAACCTAGTTAGAGTTCCTATGATCATCGCTGTAAAGTTCCACTTACGTAATTACTGTGTCGATTTCTTTCCCGAAAAGAAGGATTTCAGCTTAAAGGTTTCTGAAGTGCTTGATATGACAGCTTGGCCTGAATGGGCATATGATTGCAATCATGCATATGATGATTTTCATATGCATTTGTTTGCTCACATTCCTTTCCAGATGATTTTTTGCGTCATGCACGGCTTTAATGTTTGACGTCATGTTTAACTCCTTAACAAGTTGGCATGACCAGACGGGGGATATGAAGTGTCTAAATAACACATTGACAAAAAAAGTACGAAAAAGTTTTTCCTGTATTTTAAGGTTTTTTTTTTCCTGTGGAAGGTAATAACTATTTTAGCTTGCATAATGGGCAGTTATGAGCTTATGAGTATTGAAATACATTGCATAATGCGGAAAACCTGAAGAAAAAAATCATTTCCATCAATTCGCTCTTAACATCGCAATGTCATCATAGAGAAAAAGGCAAGTCACATGATCTCGTTACCACGTAGCGTACCACTTTCTGGTCTATACAATGTAGAAACATTGTGGTATTAAGTACGATAAATATTCCTGACCAAATTTATTCTCCAGATATCATACGATAAGAATTCGAGGGGTAGTGGGAGATCTGTTTAGGAAAGTCAGAGAATAGATTTTAGGGTTAGCAAATTTTCTGACATCCCGAGTTAACCCGTAGTTTTATTGTCGACCAAGAACATCGGCATGGGATTGTGGTTTGGTGTCTTGGTAATCATCTCTCCGTCTTTGAGGTGAAGGGTTTGGGTCCTCCAGGCCCATCCCCGGTCATACTTTGGGGTCAATTACCTACCATGAGCGAGTTTACCTGACCTAAGTACCGGAATGGATAGTGTTTTCCCCTTGGTTGTGACAAAAAGAAAACCTAGAATATCAATACAAGCTATACGTATGACGAAACTAGATATGTGTAAGGAAATGGAAACTAAATATCAGCAATGGAGTTACTTCTGGATTTTGGAACAAATAATATGTAGTGGTAATCCATTCTTTCTGATATGCAAATGGTCTTCACCTCAATTTTTACCTTTTTTTGTTTCTCCCTTCCCCTTAATTGTGTATCAAAAAGAGAAATCATAGGGAGCTTTTTTAAAATTATTTTTAATTTTTTCCCTCTTTTACATCCCCTATCCCACCCTGCATAAGGCACCTGTAATTCTTCATCGCACTTTTTCTGCAATGTCTTCTCGTGATGTTATTGCATATTGAGCATTCATGTTATAGTTGCTTGTTTCCTAAGTTAACCAGATGCAGGCACAAAAACTTACGGTGCTACTTTGTGTTTGTCCTTTCTCCAGAAATATGAAGCCCTCTGTGCAGGGGATTGTTACTTCTCCGATATTCCCGATTTTTTAATCTTTGGAAGACTTTCTAGGCCATCTTATGTTGCATTGACAAAATGGCGTTCTGGTTGTTCTTCATCAGGCTGCTCAGATACCTTAAGTGACACTTCTCCTGAAAGTTTGTGGGAGGTAGAAACTATGTAGTTGAATCTGGAAGATTTCTGCTGCTGGAAAATAGAGTTTAATTTACGTATTTCTATAATTTGTTTTATGCTTTGCCTCAGTATTTAAAGCCAACTATTTCATATCTTTCACCGAAAGAGATGGAATTGGTCCACAGTGCTCTTAAGGTATGCCTCTTTTTCTCTGCCAGAATTTTGGTTTGCTTGTCACATATATCTATATTGAAATAGTGGTTAAAGACATGCGGTGTCTTCTGTTGTGTACAGCTGGCTTTCAATGCTCATGATGGCCAGAAGAGACGCAGTGGAGAACCATTTATCATTCATCCTGTTGAAGTGGCACGAATTCTCGGAGAACTTGTGAGTTGTGGACAAGCTTCTAAAGATTGCCATGGTAACCTATCCTTTTAATATATTCAAAATTTAAATGTTTTCAGGAGTTAGACTGGGAGTCTGTTGCGGCCGGTTTGCTCCATGACACTGTGGAGGATACAAACGTTGTTACCTTTGAAAGGATAGAAGATGAATTTGGGGCTACCGTGCGCCACATTGTTGAAGGAGAGACAAAGGTGCCCTACACATTTGATAACAGTAATTAATTGCATCCATTTTCTATCATCAATGGAATTGCCCTTTTTCTTTTCCCTTAAAACAACTTATTAGTTGCTTGGCATCCATCTGTCTCCAATAGTTGTCCATGTTATCTTAGGTGTCAAAATTGGGAAAGCTGAAATGTAAGAATGAAAACAGTGAAGCCCAAGATGTTAAGGCTGATGACCTGCGGCAGATGTTCTTGGCTATGACAGCGGAGGTGATCTTTTATCATAGTCCTAGCCAACCATTATTTTTAATTAAGCCACATGGCAAATAAGCTATCACTTTTGCAGGTCCGTGTCATTATTGTCAAGTTAGCTGACAGATTACACAACATGCGGACACTATCACACATGCCTCCTCATAAGCAGGTAGGTTTTGGTTCAGTAAGACTTGCATAATATTAACTGCCTAGTCACGACATTTCTCACATTATTGTTGTACTTGCAGTCCAGCATTGCCTTGGAAACTTTGCAGGTTTTTGCCCCTTTGGCTAAGCTGCTTGGCATGTATCAAATCAAGGTAAACGAGGCTTCATTTGTGCTTTGGGTTTATTTTTATGGCTCTTGTCTTTAAGTATGGTGCTCCTGACAGATTACATACTTTTCAGAAATGTTGGATTCCAGTTTCAAAACGTGTTCCCTTTACATGCTTTACAGACCTTCGTTATTGATACAATCTAATGAGCATCTTGCTAGTTTTCCTTTTACACTTGCTTAGTTTCAATGTTGATTGCTGCAGTAGCACTTGCAGTTATAGCCTCTTACCTTCTCTTATTGTGGTTGGATTCACGAATCAACTTTTCTCTGTTACTGACTTAGATGAGTGTCATATGCATGGTATCTGCCCTAGTGTTTACATCATCTTTGTCTTTAAATTTGGGAGTTGCGAGCAAAAGTATACAAATTATAGGTTCAGATACTTGTTATTTTTTTTTGTATAAATATACATGGATCTGCAGAAAACTTTTTTAATAGTTCAGGATGGGATAATTTTTCTTCAAGACCGTGTCGTTGTATGTATTATTTGTACTGTTTATAGTACATTTCATAGGTACCACGTAATAATGTGAAGTCCTAAAAGCAAGCGCCATTTGGAATTTCATTGCTGTCCTCTAACTTATATGGAGAGTTTCTGGTCTTTAAGATTTTCTTTTTCTTTTTGGTCATATTTAGAATTCTGATATTTGTTGATTGCTGTTGCAGTCTGAGCTAGAAAATCTGTCATTTATGTACACGAATGCTGAAGATTATGCTAAGGTCAAACGAAGGATTGCGGACCTTTTTAAGGAACATGAGAAGGAGCTCGTAGAGGTAATAAGATCTTTTACTTGACAAAATATAGATAGATTATTATTTTGCTTCTCACTAAGCTGCCCATAGTGACCAGCAGTTGGGAATCGACTACTGAAAACTAGTTTAGCTGTTGCCTGAGTTCTATAGGAATATCATATCATTCCCTTTATCAATTTTCAGGCAAACAAAATTTTGATGAAGAAGATAGACGATGATCAGTTTCTAGATATTATGACAGTGAAAACTGAAGTTCGTTCTGCATGTAAGGAGCCCTACAGGTGAAGCCCAGCTTCTTTTTCTGTTTTATATGTCTGGTTTGGTGTTGTTGCCTATTTTTTTTTTTTTTTAAGTCATTGTCTTGCGAGGTATTAAGACTCTAGTCAAGTGATGTACATGTCAGGTGGTTTATCTTCGCCTATTTTGGCAGTGCTTTCTGATCAGTACATTAGTTAAAATATGATGCATTATATGTCGTGGGTGGAGTTTTAGCGTAATTTAGCATGCATTGCCCAGTGTTGTGTTCAAGTGGGTCTGTTAGCTGTGGGCTATGGAGTGGAGTTTTATTGTTGTCTGAGAGATTGCTTTCAATTCTGATCCTAATATCATTTTTAAGGTCGTGTCACAGTGTGGAGTTCAAGAAAAGTTTAGCATTGTATTAGTCTTATTGCCTATCGTACCCTTGATTAGGGAGATTGGGCATTTGGTTGCCCAGTGGGCAATATAGTTCATAAAGTATTAAAATATCACGGTGAGGGAACCTCAATTTAGTCTGAGCAAGAGTATCCGATTTCAAATGGCTATGATGGGTAGTGTAATTGATGGCAAATGGGTTGGGCTACTATGCTACATAAGGGGCTGCACTGGAGCTGTGTGCTGCTTGCCAGCATGGCGAGACAATTGGTCATATATAGGCTGGCCTATGGGCGAGCACGGCAAGGCCCTTGAAACACCCCATACGAGCCAGCCTGTGAGCTCACTTTTTAGAGTTGCAGTTCCTTAGGATATTAGCTTTAGTTCTTAGGCTTTTGAAATTCTCAAACAACTCTCACAAATGTATTCTCTTATTAAATCACTTTCATATTCCCTTGTATACAAGTTATATATTATATTCTCATATCATTTTTAAGCTATGGCTCTGTGTCTTTTACGTAAACAGAACTTTGCTTGAAATTATTTTCAAAGGAAGTCATTTTCTGGAAAGATGGTTCAATTTTCATGTGTTTGGTTGTCCCTTTCAAGAAAGATGGAAGTCTTTTGCTGAAATTTGTTACTGGAAAATTGTAAAACTTTTGTGAGAAAAAAACTTGAGTAGTGAGCCCCGAGGACATAGGTGTGAGATGCACTGTACCCAAGTCCAGGCAACAGTTTGGGCAACGGAATCCCGGGCTCGGGCTGCAAGGACTCTGGTCTGGATCGATGCTAACCTTACTCCGGACCGCCGGAGATCAGGGTCTGGGCCCTTGGGGTCCAGGGTCTAGGCTGTCGGGAGCTATATCAGAGTGTTGGGATCTTGGGTCAGTCAGTCGGGCACCTGGGACGGTCTTACAGTGGTAGAGATCAAGTTGTATTCTGGTATATAATTTCTGATTTTTTAAAGTGGAAGTCATTCTTTTAATTAAAGCATATATTTTCCGTGGACTCTTTTTCCTAAGCGATCCAAATGCTGGGAAAAGAAGAAAATATTTTCAAGCAGTTTATTTTCTGCGAGTTAATTTTAATTCTCATATTTCAGTTCTCTTGAAAATGGTGAATGGACTCATAAGATCTCTCTAGTGATAATGAACTTACTTATTGTAAGGCATGGCTTCCGAACTAACACCAGCACAAGTTAGTGCTTCTTCGATGGGTCAGCCCGCAGCCTGCCATGGCATGGCACAGCCTGCACATTTTAGGCTGGCTGGAGCATGCGTGGCCCCTTTAAGTGCTGGCATGACACTATAGCGAGACAGCCCAGGACAGCACAAATGCCATACCTAAGGAATATGTGTATTTTTGCTTCCTATGCACTCAAGGTCTTACGACAAGCACTTATAATTTTGCATCCTTTTTCATGTGCTTGTCTACACTTTGTGTGTCGAAGCACAGTAGAAGAATCCTCATATACACACTTTCAGACTTTCAGTGATGAGTATGGATAATTCTTGGAAGGATTCTTCTAAAATTTTTCGTTGTTTGTATGCAGTATATATAGGTCTGTGCTGAAATCTAAAGGTTCAATCAACGAGATTAATCAAATAGCGCAGGTTTGTGAGATTCTATGTTTGATATAGATCTGAAACAGCTATTATAAGTTGCTTCTGATTCTGCTTTTCCTGCATGTTTGTTCTTCCGTTCATAAACAGCTCCGCATCATCATAAAACCAAAACCATGTGTTGGAGTTGGGCCTCTATGTAGTCCACAACAGGCAACTCTCTCTCTCTCTCCTCCCATTTTGTAAAATGGAGGATTTTGATACTCCTTTTTTTATGGTGCAAATACCTCATTCTCATGGCTGTGCCTTTGCAGATCTGCTATCATGTTCTCGGTTTGGTCCATGGAATCTGGACCCCCATCCCTCGAGCTGTGTGTTACTTTTCCTTCTTTCGAGATTATGCTGTCGTTAGTCGTTATGTATTTTTGTTTATGGTTTATTATTTGTCACAGATGAAAGACTATATTGCGACTCCAAAACCTAACGGTTATCAAAGCCTCCATACTACCGTCATTCCATTTTTGTATGAAAGCATGTTCCGATTAGAAGTTCAGGTACCATATGGTTCACCGTATGCCTTGCTTTTCTATTTTCCCATTTTCAAGATTTTTCAAACAAGTTCGTGTTTTATTTTTTTGGTCAATAGACAAGTTCATGTTTGCTTTTCCTTTTTTCTGATTATTAGTCCCTGGAAGATAGTCTAGTGAATTTGTTGATTCATTTATTTGGCCTATCAGTTTGCTGTAAGTCCATACATTACAGGTTGAGTAATTGTTCTATTTCCAGATTCGAACTGAAGAGATGGATCTCATAGCAGAAAGGGGGATTGCTGCTCATTACAGTGGAAGAGGGTTTGTCACTGGCCTAGTCGGACGTGTGATGCCTAACAGTAGAGGATCAAGAGGAAAGGCTGTCTGTCTCAACAATGCAAACATCGCACTGAGGGTATGACATTGTGTTTCCAGTTTCCTTCCTTATTTTGGTATTTTGCTGTTGTTCTTTGGGGTATCTTCCAGGCAGACTCTTGAAGCTTCCACATGGTGATGCTAAGTGTGCGAATGAAGTGTTTCTTTTTCTTTTCAGATTGGTTGGCTTAATGCTATAAGAGAATGGCAAGAAGAATTTGTAGGCAACATGAGCTCTAGAGAATTTGTTGACACTGTTACCAGGGATCTGCTAGGGAGCCGTGTTTTTGTGTTTACACCTAGAGGAGAGGTAAGAAGTCCGACTGATTACTATGTTAAAATTGCCTTGCTTGAAGCACTAAATCTTGTGTTATTGCTTCACAGATTAAAAATCTGCCTAAAGGTGCAACTGTTATTGACTATGCATATATGATCCATACCGAAATAGGCAACAAGATGGTGGCCGCAAAGGTAAAGTCATCATATGCTAATGCTGTAGGATGTTCTTGTGAATTTTAATTTGGCTTTTGATATTGATCAGTGAGCCTGTTAAATACATGTGCCCTTGGCAGGTGAATGGAAATCTTGTTTCTCCTTCACATGTACTTACAAATGCGGAAGTCATAGAGATAATTACTTATAATGTAAGTACTTTTAATCCTGTATGGAGAAACTGAATTTTTTATAGTTTTCTTTTTGTGGGCCTCTAGATCTCTCTCCGTATGAAGAGATAACTGTCAGCAAACTCAGCTCTCGAAAGTTTATTCTGAGGTTGTCATCTATTGAACTGGAATTTTGACGGATAAGTTATTCATTAAAGAGCTTTTATCATACTGGTAGAGGTTGCCCAGTACGCCATGCTCCATAATCAATTCTTTCAGCTCTATGCTAACTACCTTTTAGTTTCAAGTTCCATGGGCACTTCCTTGGTATGTTGAAACTGCACCTGATTACATAAATGTGGCACATGCTCTTAGTTCCTTGTCATAATGGGCTAGTTTGTCTTTTTGAAGTATTTGAGTGTCAAAGGCCTGTTCAATGAAACGTCTTTTTCTTGCTTTGCTAGGCTCTCTCTAGCAAATCTGCTTTCCAGAAGCACAAGCAATGGTTGCAGCATGCAAAGACACATAGTGCCAGACACAAGATTATGAAGGTACACATATGCATATTTATGTTGGCATGGCTGCTATTTGGATTGAGCTCATATGGATTTTTTAATTGCCTTTGTCCTGTGATCTAAATTAAGTTTTTGTTTAGTTCTTAAGGGAGCAAGCTGCGCTTTCTGCTGCTGAAATAACAGCGGACACTTTGAATGATTTTATCGCTGACTCTGAAGAAGGGGGCGTTCCCAAGCATCCCAAGGAGAACAAGCCTATATGGGACAGGATTCTCATGAGTGTGATGGGAATGCCTTCTTCAGATTGTAATAAAGATGTCCACCTGAAAAGTGGTGGTGACGGGGTCCCCAAAGTGAATGGAAAGCATCGCAAACATGTTCAGCATGTCAGTTTGATGGGTAAAGGTGAGTCATTATTTCAAGGAAATGGTGTTGCCAAGATGATACAAGCCAACATACCTTTATACAAGGAAGTCTTGCCTGGCTTAGAAAGTTGGCAGGCTAGTAAGATTGCCTCTTGGCACAATCTAGAAGGGCACTCCATCCAGTGGTTTTGTGTGGTATGCATAGATCGTAGAGGTAGTTTTCTTTCTCTGGTGTAAGCATCCTTCCAGTAGTTCTATTTTTCGGCTAGATCTTAGTAATTGATGTTTGTTTTGGTTTTATTAAGCACTATAATGACACTCAATAATGAACACTAGCTAAAAGAAGAAAGAGGAAGAAAACAACATTCGTGATGGTTATTGGATAGATAGATATATTTGCGTGTACGCGTGTAAAGAGGACTCAGATACAAATAGACAATTGGTTGAGACTGACTTGGAAATCATGGACCGAGGAAGCTGCTTATAATAAGGAACTGGTTAATGTGGAAGCAGTTATTCTGACCAAAACAAATGCTATACTTAAGATTTTTCCAGTATCTCATTTTCCGCTAAGGGCCTCTATCCCCTACCAAAATCTTAGCAGTTAACCTTGGATGAGGAAAAATGTCTAATCTTACTGTATGAAATTAACAGGGATGATGGCCGAGGTTACAACAGCACTGTCAGCTGTGGGCATTACCATATGTTCTTGTGTGGTAAGATTTTGAGATTCGATCATATTTTTAGTTAACAATGTCATTTGCAATTTGTAACCTTCCTGTGGTAAGCAGGCTGAGATCGATAGAGGTAGGGGTATGGCCGTCATGATGTTTCATGTCGAAGCAAATATCGAGAGCCTGGTATGATATTGCATCATTCCTCTTTATTCTCCGTAGTTGACCTCTTTTATGCGGTGAAGTGTCGTATCCTTGACTACTTGTTTATTGTTCCTCAGGTCAATGCTTGCTCAAGCATAGATCTAATCCTCGGGGTATTGGGATGGTCTACAGGTTGCAGTTGGCCGTGTTCAGTTGATGCCAATCGATTTCTTGAGTGCTAACGAATTGATAGACATGTCGAGTTACCTAGTTCACCCAGCTATTGGAGCTTTGGGTGTAAAGTTTTGTCCTCGAAAAACAGAAATGTGTTTAGCTAGATTCTCATTTGTTGGCGCAGGCTGAGCTCAATAAGTTGGCAGTAGCATGCAGAAAATAGTCTGGTTCCAGAGCATTGTATATAAGAAGAGCTATAGGGTTAAGGAGGTATACACCTGTAAAGGTACTTGGGAGAGAGAGAGAGAGAGAGAGAGAGAGAGAGAGAGAGAGAGAGAGAGAGAGAGACATCTATACAGAGGAGGTTACACAAATCTATGGTATATAATTCAATTTTTTCATTCAACAATTTGACGTTATATTCTTTCGCCGACGTGTACTAGCTTTGCTCTCTTTTTTCTACCTTCCTTTTTGTGTTTGTGTTCTCTCTTCACCCGTTGGTCTTTACCTATTCACGTGAGAAATTCAATACGGGCAACCCATCCTAGTACTTTTGGAGTTCTCAGATATTTCGCATCCTAGTACAATCTACTGATTATAGTTTGGGGGCCGAAACATAATGTGCTAATGTCATGGATAATCCGAACTCTAGTTTACTTCTGCAGTAGTGTAATGTATTGGTTGAAATGCTGAAGCTTAAAGCATACCGCGACCACTGACTTCTGTCATGCCTCTTGAGGAATCCAAGAATAGCTGAGTGAAGATGGGGGGATAGGAAAGGTATGAGTGTTTATCTTCGCTTTTGAAGTCACGGGGAGTAGTCTAGTTTTGTACTTGCAGAGACAACAGAAGTAAATTGAATACAATGGATAATCCTAGATAGATGCCATGTTCGACCACATATGTCGACTAGGTTTGCCGGTATGGTGTGGAAGAGAAATCAAGAGAGAAACATCATCGAGTGTTTACTTGGCTGCTGCATCTGCAAGAGCGCCTCCGAGGAAATTGAAACGATGGACTGCCGCGAGAATAACAATGTTTGATAACTATTCTCGGTTGTGTATTCTCGCACGGTGAGACTATAGGTGTTTCTTCTCCAGGTAGACGAAGGATATGCGTGCATGTTTAACGTTCTGTCGTGTAATATTTTCCCAATGTTTTCATTAATGTCCTTCAGTATTCAGCAGGACTGAGTTCTACTACAGTTTAAGATGATTCTTATTGAGGATTCAGTAAGACAGAGCGAAAGATTGGAATGCTTGAATTACAAGTCTTGATTCCTCACGACCGATCTGCGACCGTGAGAGGAACTTCATTTAACAGCGAGATCACATAAATTCGTCGCGAAACTCCCGATGCTGCTACCGTGAACTAGGAGTGACAGCAAAACCAACAGCAGCAGGACACGCCAAATACAGATCGGCGGCCTCGGGAAGCGTTTTTTCCAACGATTCCTCGTGACAGTCTCCTCCAATCTATTCTCGGTAAAAGCTGTTGAGTCTCTAGGGTTTTCATGAGTATCAACTCCAACATTTTCTTCCTCCCCTTCTTCGTGGACGATGGAATCGCTTTCTTGCTTGTTGATCTTGGTCATGTCTACACGATCCTCAAAAATCGTCTTCGCTACCTCATCGATCATTTCCAATGGCCATATCGCCTCGTTGTTTAATTCAAGACATGAGTCCCCTGAGTCTTCCGAGCTTCCCTCGACTTCTTTTGCTTTTTCATCACCACCACCACCAAGATCTTCTTCTTCTTCCACAGAATCCGCCGACTCGTCTGCTTCTGCCGTCAGCACTTCAATTTGAGCTACACGATCAAAGGCGTCAACCTCACTGGATGCGTGAATAATTTGCTTCTCGAGATGGTTTTCTGTATTTTCATTCCAGTCATCTGTGGCTAGAGCGCAATCTTGCGTAGCTGGTGGCGAACCATCTTCGACCACGGAGCTAAAGGACGCAACGCTCTCTGTTTTCGCACCATCAGAGAGGACAGTCTCTTGGTGAGGCTCTTTCTTCTCATCCTTTTCAATAGCAGGCTTTTCCTCCTGAATCAAATCGATCCGACGATTTCACATCGATCATTATGTTCGCGAAATCGTGACTTAAAGCTCAGTAAAAGAAACAAATGACTGCACAAATTACGTCTACTTTGCACCATTGAAATTAAACTACCAGAATCTGTGCACTTGTTTCGCCATTGAATTCTCCATGAGCATTGCTTTAATAAGAACAGATGCAGATATGTATCCTAAAAAGAAAGCTTTTGTGTTTTTCCCAAAGGACTGTTCTTCCTTTTAGAATCACGACGTTTCCAAAAGTTTCTAAATTATCAGGAATGACATCTCACCGACGTCAAACTCCGACCCGACGCGGAATCACTGCAATACAAGTGAGCTAAATTCTTCCTCGACAATCCGCCATGGCTTCCGCCAATGCAACTGCAGATCGACCACCAAATATGTTGTGATCACGACAGCGATAAAAGAAAAAGGAAAACTCGAAATTCCAATCACTCAAAGGCAAAATTTGTAATTCCAAGGCTCACCATGAGGAGTTACGCGGAGTAAGAGGACTCGTAGGAGAACTCTGATCCTGAAGAACGACCCGAAGGCCTCCGTTTTCGTCGCCTCCTCCTCCTCCTCCTCCTCCTCCTTCTTCAGTCGCCTCGACCTTAAGCTTCTCGGGTCCACACGTGCACCGATTCCAGACCCTCTTCTTCACTCTGATCGTGAAGAGGGCCATCAAGCTCGCAATCGCCAGAGTGCCTCCCCACACAATAACCCCTTCGATCCTAGCGCCACCGCCACCGCCACCGACTCTTAGGCGAGCCCTTCTCTTCAGATCCCCAGTTCGTCTGCCCTCGCGCAACTCCATGATCATGTAACTACAAGTTCCTATGAATTTGGGTATCCCCAGGTTGATGTCCTCACCTCATATATTGCTTTGCTTTGTTGCTTGTCTGATAAAAGAGTTGGGGGAGATGGTAGTTGAGCAGCGCAGCATCTCTCGGAGGTTGAAGCGGACGTGTGTTCTTGTACACATCTGGTGCTTTCACAACAGAGGAATGATTCCCTTTTTCTCGTGCTTTAAATTAAAGATGACCAAACATTTTGCATGCACCCTTTCGTTACGTGCATTCCCCGTTTGAACGGGTACTCTCTTTCAAGGATTACGTGATCTCTTCACGTGAATTCGTGCCTTTGGATCCTCACGTGCGTTCCTCTCCGTCGGTTGGAAAAGGGATTTCTGGTGATGCTCGCATGTGCTTATTTGATTCAGTGAAGCAATCAGATCTTTGACATGAGAAGAAGAATTAATCGCCATTCTGTATTTTGAGAAATTCTCCCTCACTTATGGATGTCGCTCGACGCGGGCAAAGTTGCTTACGACGCTTCTCGAACCGGTGGATATGTTTGCGCGACGTGTTCGGCTGATGTCGCGCACAAGATTAAAATACCCGATCAGTCGATTTCGACCGCCCGGCATTTATCATTCAAAAAGCCACTTAGCTTTACAGAAATTGAACTCAGCATTGACCAGACAAGATGCTAAGTTGTACGTTTCTGTAGCCAGTAGTTATCATTGATTGGATAGCTTGTTGATGATGCATGCTTAGATGCAAAGTCGTGCATTTTTGCGTCTCTCAAACTATACGTTTGAATGGGCCGAATCCAGCGTTATTCGGTCCTTCTCTGCGTTGGCCTCTGTGAGAAGGATGGAATGAGCTTCTGCATACTTTGGTTGCTCTTTAATTTAATGGGATGGTGCCATGTGTTTTTCTCATCACGTTCGTCGTTGTTACTTCTTTTTTCTCTCGCTCAATAGCCTCTTCTTTGAACTTTCTGCCTTTCTTGCAACGTTAATAATAAGGGCAACCTTACACACACATATATACATATATATAGTAGTCAAACAAAAAGGACAAACTCATTGGATTTGATGTAGAACAGTTAGCCTGTGATTATCTTGAAAAATATGATCGCCGTAATCGCCGGAAATCTCGGCAGTTTTTTTGATTTTGAGAAAAACGACCTCGGATTGCGCTCAAAATTGATCGGTTGAAGTGAAATGGCCGTATCATTCGGACTCACAGCTATGCTGTGACATATGATGGATTTTAGCCTTTCGAAGTCGTCTGGATAGAGTTTCAGGCAGTTTTTTACTTTAGGCAATTTCGAATTATCAATATTTCGTTTGATTTTATTAGATAAGATTAGATTTGATTTGCTTTGCTTTGATATTACTTTCATTAATTCGGATATCTTTAGGAGTTCTATCATTATTAAAGGACGTCCAGCTTTGTATTCAGATTATTATCGAATTGAATTGAATTCCAGTCGAATTGTGGAAGGTTTTCCAAGTTATCGCTTCTTTCTGCATCATTTGGTATCAGAGCAGGTTTCTCCTGTGACGACGGTGAATAAAGTGAATGTCAATCTCCCCGCTGCTGAGGGCTGTGAGAACGAGCCTATTACGCGGGCTGAGTTCAATCAGTTCGTGGATCAAACCGATCGGAGGTTTCAAGAGATCCTTGATGCCATCCAGCGTTTGTCCACAAACCATGCGCCTGGCAATCTTCCAGCCGAGCGAATTCCTGTCGTTTGTGATCTCGAAGATGCTATGGGGCGTGGAGGAATTCCCCGACAAAGGCGTCAAGACTATGTCGAAGATACGGAAGACGAAGACGATGATTTCCAGGAGATGCAAATTCGTGGTGGTCACCGATACAGGGGATTCCAGGAGGAGCATGTTCGTGGGAGTCGACGTCAGGGAGGATATCGACGAGATCCTGAGCAGTATCAACTAAAGGTAGATCTCCTTACTTTCAATGGGTATTTGGATATTGAAAATTTCCTTGATTGGCTTTGGGAGGTCGAAAAATTCTTCGACGCTATGGATATTGACGAGGATCGCCAAGTGAAACTTGTGTCGTACAAGTTGAAGGGTGGCGCTTCAGCTTGGTGGGAACAGACTCAATTGACGCGACGTCGACAAGGCAAAGCTCCTATTCGATCATGGGGTCAGATGAAACAGAAGTTGAAGAAGAGGTTCCTCCCAACGGACTATGAGCAACTGTTGTTTCAACAATTCCAGAATTGCCGACAATTGAATAGATCGGTCCAAGCTTATACGGAAGAGTTCCTTCGACTCTCCGCTCGCAATAACCTGGATGAGTCCGAGGCACAACAAACTGCTAGGTACATTAATGGTTTACGACTTAATATCCAGGATCGGATTTCTTTGCATCAACTATTCTCTGTCGAAGACGCCCAGGTTATGGCGCGAAAAATTGAGGTGCAATTGGAGAGGACTAGCCCTAGTACTCGTGGTAGCAATTATTCGGGTCGTGGGTCATTCGGGAAAGGAAGACAGCCTGATGTTGCAAGTTCTTCTAGTCAACAAACACCTGATTCGAGCCGAGTTCCAGGGGGTACTACTGGGACGCCTAAGGAAGCAGTCGCAGCAAGCAATCGCACTCCCAATCAGAATACCCAGAATCCATATGCCAAGCCCCAACTGATCAGGTGCTACAAGTGTAACGAGTTGGGCCATCGTTCCAGTGATTGTCCTCGTCGTAGAATGGCCAATATCGTTGAACATGACGAAGATGTGTCTGAGGAAGATTGGGAAAATGAAGAAGAAGTGGGAGTGGAAGATGAAGTGGGCGAGCAAGTTAATTGTGTAGTGCGTCGTCTAATGCTTACTCCGAGGATAGAAGATACCCAGCGGAATCAACTTTTCCGCGCTCGCTGTACTGTCAATGGCAAAGCATGCGATAGTGTCAAAGGCCTTTGTGGATCACTTGCAACTAAAGACGGAGCCGCATCCCGCGCCCTACACGATCGGGTGGATACACAAGGGAGCAGAACTTAAGGTAAACCAATTATGCCGTTTACCTTTTTCGATCGAAAAATCATATCAAGATACTATTGTCTGTGATGTTGTGGAGATGGATCCGTGTCATGTTTTACTGGGTCGGCCATGGCAATATGATGTTGATGCTACACATCGAGCTAGGGAGAATACGTATTCTTTTGTGTGGAAAAGGACTAAAATTACTTTGAGACCAAAGAGTAATTCCCCTCAGATTGTGAAGAAGCAGAATGCAGGGGTTATGATGAACATCCGAAAGCGTGAAGGGATGTATATGATTGTGGACAAGGGCAACCAGCAAGTTGTTGTTCGTGTTCCCGACATTCTTAAGCCCTTATTAAAGGTATTCAGTGATGTTATGCCTGAGGATTTACCTGACGGATTACCTCCTTTGAAGGATATCCAGCATGAGATTGATTTTCTTCCAGGAGCTAGCCTTCCTAATTTGCCGCATTATCGGATGAATCCGAAGGAGAATCAGATTCTACAGGAGCAGGTGGGAGATCTCCTTCGAAAGGGCTTCTTGCGTGAAAGTAAAAGTCCATGTGCAGTTCCTGCGCTTCTCACGCCAAAGAAAGACGGCACCATGCGTATGTGTGTAGACAGTCGTGCCATTAACAGGATTACTGTCAAGTATAGGTTTCCGATTCCACGACTTGATAATATGTTAGACAGACTTGCTGGATCACGGATTTTTATGAAGATCGACCTTCGAAGCGGATACCACCAAGTTCGCATCCGCCCTGGCGACGAATGGAAAACGGTCTTCAAGACAAGTGCGGGTTTGTACGAATGGCTTGTCATGCCGTTTGGACTCACTAACGCGCCTAGTACTTTCATGCGTTTGATGACTCAGGTTCTCAAACCTTTTCTTGGCAAGTTTGTGGTAGTTTTCTTTGATGATATACTCATATATAGTCCGGATGGGCGTCAACACATGGAGCACTTGAGGGATGTCCTACTAACCTTGCAGCAAAATAAATTGTTCATTAATCTGAAAAAGTGCAGCTTCATGACAGAACGCCTCTTGTTTTTGGGTTTTGTTGTTGGCGCGGATGGACTTCACGTTGATGCAGATAAGGTGGCCGTGATTCGCAATTGGCCAGTTCCAAAGAATGTTGGCGAGGCTCGAAGTTTCCATGGTCTTGCAACATTCTATAGGCATTTCATTCGAGATTTTAGTACTATTATGGCTCCGATCACTGACTGTTTAAAGAAGGGCAAATTCCATTGGGGAGAAGAAGCTTCGGCCAGTTTTGCTCTTATAAAAGAAAAACTCTCCACTGCACCGGTATTGATGCTTCCTGATTTTGAGAAAGTGTTCGAGCTGGACTGTGATGCTTCCGGCGTCGGGATTGGCGCTGTCCTTTCCCAAGAAGGTAAGCCTATAGCCTTCTTTAGTGAAAAACTTAATGAAGTTCGCCGGTGTTCGTCGACGTATGAGCAGGAATATTATGCTGTCGTGCGAGCTATAAAGCATTGACAGTCCTATCTTTATCAGCAGGAATTTGTTCTTAACACCGATCATCAGGCTCTTAAATATATCAAGAGTCAGAAGCACTTAAATCGAATGCATGCACGATGAGTTTCTTTTCTGGAGCAATTTAATTTTGTGCTTCGTCACAAAGCAGGCCATTTAAATAAAGTGGCAGGTGCGCTGAGTCGACGTGCTGCGACACTCGTGACCATGCGCACTGATGTTGTCGGTTTTGATCACCTATTTTCTCTTTATCTTTAGGATGATGATTTTGGTAAAATATGGGAGAAGTATTCTGAAACAGGTTGTCATGGCGATATGATAATCCAAGAAAAATTCTTGTTCTTTGGCAATAGATTATGCATTCCTCGTGGTTCCTTGCGTGAACAACTCATTCGGGAGCTTCATGGTGGTACTCTTGGAGGACATTTGGGGCGAGATAAAACTGTAGCCTTGGTGGAGGAGCGGTACTATTGGCCTCAACTGAAGCGAGACGTGGGGCGATTTGTCAGTAAATGCTACATTTGTCAGACCGCTAAGGGCCATTCTCAGAACACTGGCCTTTATACCCCCTTGCCTATTCCTTCGGGTCCTTGGGTAGACATATCGATGGACTTCGTGTTGGGACTTCCTCGCACTCAACGGAATTTAGATTCTGTTTTCGTGGTGGTTGACCGGTTTTCGAAAATGGCGCACTTCATTCCTTGTAAGAAAACTTCGGATGCTTCGCATGTGGCAAGTTTATTCTTTCGTGAAGTAGTCCGTCTCCATGGTGTGCCGAAGACAATCACTTCCGATCGTGACACGAAATTTCTGAGCCATTTTTGGCGTACTTTTATGGCGTTTGTTTGGG